CATAACCTTGAATTAATTAGTGGGTTACTTTGGTCATCTTTTATACTTAATTATATGGTAATTAGGATAAAAGAAAAAGAGTTTGAATAAGGAAAAAGAAGCAAAGAGACAGAAAGAGAGGGAGAACGATCGAGAGAAGAGAGAAACGAAGAGGAAAACAAAGGTTTTGGGGGATAGCTTGCTTGATCGCGAATTCTTCGGTGGAGGTAGGTTATGGTTTATGCTATTTCGTAGTAAACTCTTAATAGTGAATGATATGTATTGGGTAATTTTGTAAAGTCTTCTATATGCTTAATTGTGTGCTTGCATGATATGATTATGTAATTGTGATGAATTAGCATGATGAGACTGTTGAATCTTAAACCTTAAAAACCTCTGTTAATGATGATGCCTTGGTATAAAAGAAGGCTAGATGAACTAAAAGAATGAGGTTAGTGGATCGGGTGTCACGTTCCGACACCAGGATAGTATTAGTGGATCGGGTGTCACGAACCGACACATAGTATTAGGGGATCGGGTGTCACAAACCGACACATAGTATTAGGGGATCGGGTGTCACGAACCGACATATAGTATTAGTGGATCGGGTGTCACGAACCGACACATAGTATTAGTGGATCGGGTGTCACGAAGCGACACGTAGTATTAGGGGATTGGAGTGTCACGTTCCGACACAAGAGGAATAAAGAGAATGAATCTTGAATTATCTTAATATACTCAATTTAATGAACCTGATTCCCAAATGAGTATGGTGTGGAGGCTTGAGACCTCATAGATGTGCTTGGGTCGTGGTCAATGGTTATGGTACTTGTTGTTGTTACCTGTTAAGTGTTATGGTTGATTTTACGTTATTATCTGATATATATTGCTTTCTATTTTGAGTTGGCCGATAATATCTACTCAGTTTGTACTGACCCCTACTTGTATGCTTTCTCTTTGTTATTTGTGAAGTGCAGCAAACGTACCGTCGTCTTCAACTCAACTGCAACTCTAGCCAGTCTTCATCACGTCAGATTTCAGGGTGAGCTATTGTTTCTAGCTTGGACTGGATCTTCTTCTTCACGTCTTGATGCCTTGAAGTTCTGGCATGGATTAGCTGTTTAGTTATTTTAGCTTCTTAAATACTCTTAGATTTAGTAAGTTGAGGATAGATGTTCTTGTGGTGATGACTTCCAGATTTTGGGGATAATGATAAGTTTTGAGTTTTAAAAGTTAATTATTGATTTCGTTAATGAGTTTTAAGTCTTCCGCATTATATTCTGTTTATTATGGTTGAAATGGTGGGGTTTAGATTTGTTGGTTGGCTCACATAGTAGGATAAGTGTGGGTGCCACTCGCGGCCCGTTTTGGGTCGTTACAGTCATAATCAAGCAAACAATGTTTTTTAGAAAGTACTATAATAATTTTTTGAGTCTTTATAATTAAATAGACATTTTACAAGTAAGTTGGTCAATTATGTATCTTGCAAAAGAGACAAATTTAAAATTTTAAAATGGGGTGCATCATTATAAAAAGAAAAAGTTATACATGATAGCAAATTATTAATTCAAATTAAATGTTATAAATATAATTTGATTTAATTGTAACCCATAGCAAACTGTTGCTACTTCACCTCTCTCCAGGCTCATTCTCTCCCTCGCCTCTCCCGCTTTTATACAAATACAAATGTATAAAATGTGTTAGTGCTTGTATAAAGCGAGAGAAAATTATACATATACATATATTTTTCCTTTCCCTCTCTCCCTAACTCGCTCGCCACTCTCCCAGATCTCGCTCTCTAGTCTCTCCCTCGCCTCTCTCGCTTATACAAACAGAAATGTATAATTGTGAATCTGTTTGTGTAAAGCGAGAGAAAATTGTAAATACACACAAATACCTTTTTCCTTTCTCTGTTTCTCGCTTTATACAAGCATAGATTATACAATTAATTTTTTGTATATGTTACCGAAACAGAAATAGATTATATACAACTATTCTTTTTATATGTATAGAAAAATATACATATTTAATTTTGCTATAAAACGCAATTATGCAAACTATAACTATAACATACGATTATAATTTGTGTTTACTATATATGAAAGTTGCTTGAGATACTGATTTGGCCTTCTTTATTTTGATACTACTATTATTAATTTATTACCAAAAGGCTAGTCTTCTCAGAATGTTTGTTGGAACAAAAATAAGGAGTGGGACATAAAATTAAGGGAAAAGGGTCTGATATACCCCTCAACTTTGTTATTTAGAGCCGATACACCCCTTGTTATGAAAGTGGCTCATATATACTCCTACTTGTAAAAAATGGCTCACATATACCCTTTTCCTCTAACGTAAATGGAAAAAATAATAATTTTGATCTAAATTTTTATTATTTTTTTCTAAAAAATATAATCCCATATGAGTAAATTTAATCCTCGTGAAACATATTTTTTTGATTTTTCTTGTTCAATGACTAATTTATAATTATTATTTTGATG